AGGATGGTCTCGATCTCCTGACCTCGTGATCCGCCCGTCTCGGCCTCCCAAAGTGCTGGGATTACAGGCTTGAGCCACCGCGCCCAGCCTATTATTATTTTTTCGAGACAGAGTCTCATTCTGTTGCCAGGCTGGAGTGCAGTGGCGCGATCTTGGCTCACTCCAACCTCTGCCTCACAGTTTCAAGCAATTCTCCTGTCTCAGCCTCCCAAGTAGCTGGGACTACAGATGACTGCCACCACACCTGGCTAATTTTTGTATTTTTTCGTAGAGATATGGTTTTACTATATTGGTCAGGCTGTTCTCGAACTCCTGACCTCAGGTGATCCACCCGCCTTGGCCTCCCAGAGCGCTGGGATTACAGGTGTGAGCCACTGTGCCTGGTCAAATTTTTTGTAGAGATAAGTGTTTCAGCATGTTGCTCAGGCTGGTCTCAAAACTCCTGGGCTCAAGTGACCTGCCGACCTCAGCCTCCCAAAGTGCTGGGACTACAGGTGTGAGCCACCATACCCAGTTAATTTTTAAATGTTTTGTAGAGATGGGGGTTTCACCATGTTGCCCAGGCTAGTCTTAAACTCCTGGGCTCAGTCGATCCACCCGCCTCGGGCTCCCACATTGCTGGGATTATAGGCGTGAGCCACTGCTCCAGGCCTACATGTACATAGTTAATCCCCTCTTTCTTGTAACCTAAACAGTCAGTAAACATTGACGAAGGTGCGGTGCTGGGGACTCAGAGCAAACAAGTCAACACACGCACACCTGTGTAACCTGTGTAATTCCAGGTGGTAGCCGGGCCCCCAAGAAAGAGCCAGAATAGCTGCGGAGATCTGGCTCCTACTGGGTGGGAGGGCCTCTCTGGGGTTCAGGCTGAAGCCTGGAGGTTGAACAGGGGTGAGTCAGGAGAGGAGGGTACACCCTGGAGGAGAGGAGAGAAGTGGGAAGGGGCCGGGCCTGCAGGGCCTGGGAGTCCATTTGGGGAAAGTGAATTTTATTCCCAAGGCAGGAGGAAGTCAGGGAGGTAGAGGAGGGCGACGATCCAGGTCCCCTGTTAGAGCCTCATGTGAATTGTTGAGGGCTTGCCCCATGCTGGGTATGTTTGGATGGCATAGAAACCAGAAGTCGTCACGGCCTCTGCCCGAGGAAGTCACTCACGGTCTGACCATGGGCATGAAGGCTGACCCCAGTTGTATGCTCCTGACTGCTGCAGTTGCTCCGCCTGTGGTGGTGGTGGTGGGAGGGAGCCTCTCACCCTGGCACCGAGGTCGCTGCGAGCTCAC